TAATAACATTTTTCACAGAAATAGAAAAAAAACCCTAAAATTAAAATGGAACCACAAAATACCCCAAATAGCCAAAGTAATCTAGAACAAAAAGGAAAAAAGCTAAAGGCATCATACAACCTGATTTCAAAATCTACTGAAAAGCTATAGTAATCAAAACACCATGGTACCAGTCTAAAAACAAACACATAGACCAATTAAACAGAAGACAGCCCAGACATTACTCCACAAATTTAAGGTCAATTAATTTCCTGACAAAGTTGCTGAGAAAAGGACAGTAGTGTTTGGAAAAACTTCCATATGTGGAAGAATGAAATCAGACCTGTATCTCACACTATACACAAAAATCAACTTAAAATGGATTAAAGACTTAAATGTAAGACCTGAAACTATAAAACTACTAGAAGAAAACATACTGACCATCTTCAATTAGTCTGGGCAATTTTTGGAATATGACCTCAAAGTACAGGCAACAAAAGCAAAAATAGAAAAAGCTTCTGCAAGGCGAAGGAAACAATCAACAGAGTGAAGAGGCAACCTACAGAATGGAAAAAAAAATGTGCAAATCACACATCTGATAAGGGGTTAATATCCAAAATATACAAGAAACTCAAACAACTCAATAGCAAGAAAACAATCTGACTGAAAAATGAACAAAGGATCTGAATAGATTTTTTCTCAAAAGAAGACATACAAATGGCCAACAAGCATATTTTAAAATACTCAACATCATTAATCATCAGGAAAAGGCATTCAGTACTATGATATCACCTTACACCTAACAGAATTGCCATTATCAAAAAGACAAAAGATGGGTGTTGGCATGGATGTAGAGAAAAGGGAACCCTTGAATACTACAGGTGGGAATGTAAATTGATTCAGCCATTGTAGAAAGCAGTATAAAGATTTCTTTAAAACATTTGAAAAATAGAACTACTATATGATCCAGCAATCTCACTCCTGGGTATATATTCAAAGGAAATGAAATCAGTATGTTGAAGAGATATCTACACTCTCATGTTCACTGCAGCACTAGTCACAAGAGCCAAGATGTGAAATCATCCTAGATGTTCATCAACAGACAGATAAACAAAACATAGTATATATGCACAATGGAATACTATTCAGCCTTAAAAAAAGAAGAAAATCCTGTCATTTTGACAATATGGGTGAACCTGGAGAACATTATGTTAAATGAAATAAGCTAGGCCCAGAAAGACAAATACTGTGTGATATGAATAATATTTCTATGTCCAATCTAAAACAATTGACCCAATAGAAACACAGAGTAGAATGTTGGCTGCCAGGAGGTTGGGGTAGAAGTGAATTGTGGGGGAAATGTTGGTCAAAAGATACGAAATTTCAGTTAGGAGGAATAAGTTCAAGAGATCTATCTACAACATGGTGGCTGCAGTTAATAACAATGTATTGTATTTGTGAAAATTGCCAAGAGATAGATTTTAAGTGTTCTCAGCACATTACTGGGTATATACCCAAAGGATTATAAATCATGCTGCTATAAAGATACATGCACACATATGTTTATTGTGGCACTATTCACAATAGCAAAGACTTGGAACCAACGCAAATGTCCATCAATGACAGACTGGATTAAGAAAATGTGGTACATATACACCATGGAATACTATGCAGCCATAAAAAAGGATGAGTTTCTGTCCTTTGTAGGGACATGGATGCAGCTGGAAACCATCATTCTCAGCAAATTATCACAAGAACAGAAAACCAAACACTGCATGTTCTCACTCATAGGTGGGAATTGAACAATGTGATCACTTGGACACAGGAAGGGGAACATCACACACTGGGGCCTGTCATGGGGTTGGGGGAGCAGGGAGGGATAGCATTAGGAGATATACCTAATGTAAATGATGAGTTAATGGGTGCAGCACACCAACATGGCACATGTATATATATGTAACAAACCTGCACATTGTGCACATGTACCCTAGAACTTAAAGTATAATAAAAAAATTGATAAATATGTGAAGTAATACATATATTAATTAGCTCAGTTCAGCTGTTCCACAAAGTATACATATTTGAAAACATGTTGTATATGATGAATATATAGTTTTTGTCAATTAAAAATTAATTAATAAAAAATAAAAGAGAACTTGTTTCAACTAGACTGTTTTAAGAGACATGTCCACATCTCAAAAATAAAATCCTTCCATGCCTTTAAAAAAAAAAATCTTCACATAGCCATTGGACAGCTCTCTGTGAAGAACCAGATACACATGGCCTCTGTGTAAGCACCACACTGATGGCTTTCTGCTCTATGTTTGGTTTATTCCACTTTCTGAATCACCTGACTTCATACCATCAGATCGCCAGGGTAATGATCTCATCTCAAGGATGACGCTATTTTGCTTATTGTGAAGATGGATTTCAGTGTTTCTAATGATGCTTATCAAGGTGAGATTGGTTTGAGACTTGAGTAAATGGCCATTTAAATCTATAAAGAGGATTTGATTAATCAACTATATACGTGTGTTATATACATAATGCAAAAGAGACTATACTTTGAATGCTACTGAAAGCTTAATTCATATGATATATATATAATTGTAATACTTAAATCATGAAAAATAATAATCAATAGTAATATCTTATTTTCAGCTATTTCTCTGACGAAAATTAGGGAAGAGAAAATTGTTTCATTATGAAGTACTAGAAAAAAAGATAATTTTCTTCTTTTTTTCTCTATATACTTCAATTATCTGGCTCATTTTAAAGTTTAAGTAAATTAATTTAAGAATGACATAATCTATCTTAGAATAACTTTACATTTATTTGATTCCCAGTGTTTTCTAATGAAACACTGAAGAAAAAGATATATACTCTTAGAAGCAACACAAACTATTGAAAGCGTTCTGGACCAGAAGTAAAGAGATGTGATTTTCAGTGCTGGCTTCCCATCAGTGTGAACTCAGGCAAGTCACTCAAATTTCCTGAAGCTAAGTTTCCTTGTGGGTATAACAGAGATGTCAGCATCTGCTCTATTTAAACAATTGTTGTGTGGCAAAAATTCTTTATTCATCCAGCACTTGTTAGTGCTTATTGGGTTCTTCTCATGGAGATATGAAGACAAATACAATTCAGTTTCTTCCCTCAAGGAACACAGAGGTGGGGAGATACAGGCAGAAATTTGGGGTAGAGTCAAAGAATACTCCTAGAAGGAGGAGATCTTGAAGAAGAAGTAAGAGGTAGTGAAGAGAATGGAAGAAGACACGATAAGAGCATTCCAGGTAGAGGGCACAGCATCCTGCAAAGGTAATGGGTTATAAGAGTGTAAGGTGCTAGGGGACCTGCCCATCATTCAGGGCTGAAACAGAAGGGGAAAAGTCCAAGGTGAGGTTGGAAAGGTAGGCACAATCCAGCTAAACGAGAGTAACAGATGCTGTGCTATGGATTTGTCTTCTAACCTAGAGGCAATGAGTGAAGGTGAAGGGTTATGAAGAATTAGGGAAGGGGTTTTAGGAAATGCACTCTGAAGGTAACATAGGCAATGAAATCAGAGGCTGGGAAATTAGCTCAGGGTCCATGGTACTAGCTCAGATGACAAAAAGTAAAGGCCTGTGCTAACACAGTGGCAGCAAGGATGGAGGAGAAAAAACAATGCTGAGAGACAGTTTGGCTGAAGCCTGACCGACGGCACATAGAAGGGAAAATCAGGGTGAATCAAAGGTTTCTCACTTGCCTGGGTAGACAGTGTCTTAATTTGTAAGATTAAAAAAATAAAGATGTTAAAGCAGGTATCTGGGGCTCAAGTTAAACTTAGGCATGTTGGGCTTGTTGTGCCTATGGGTTATCCAAGTGGTGAGGTGCAGAAGGCAACTGGATAGATGTAACACATTTGACAATGCTGTGAGCTGTTCCAATGTAAGTAATATTGCTTGAATCCAGTTACATAATTTCAGTATGTGTATTAACTCTCACAAGGCCACTAGGGAAATTACTATAGTATACATGGTCTATTTAATGGTACTCCAAGGGCTTCAAAGAATAAAGACATCTTTCACTTCTTTACTGGATTTTCTTGCTTAACGGAAATCATTTAACTACCTACAGCATCATTTCTATTGTGAGCTACCTCTGATGGCTTGTAGCTTCTTGCTCACGTTCATGTGGCTGGCGTCTGGACTGGATTAAAGAGAACTACCATGCAGATGGAGACGGAGGACAGTATTCTGGAACCTTTCTCCCTCCAACCTTACTGCCTATTGTATTTTTCTATACGCATTCTTACTTCCAGCTGCCATGGGGTCATCAAGCTTTAGCTTAAATCAAATGTCCTCTGGCTCCAGGTCCCATGATGAAAAATTTATGGAGTCCTGGACACATTACAAGTTTTACAGCTTTACAGCTGAAATCCTTCAGGTCCTCCTGACCTACTGAAGGAAAAAATATGTTTTATTTTATTGTGATTCCCAAATGTTCTTCTAGTGTGTACATTTTTCCAGCAGAATGTGCATGTAGCTTCCAGCAATGTGTTTTATATTACCTTGAAGAGTAGGGAAGCTCTGATAGAAGGAAACAACTTAGTTTTCTTGCCAGTGCAAAAGAAAACAGAACTTGCCATTGGAAGCATGATGAGTTGACCAAGTCTGTGGATAATCGGTTTGTTTTTCTCTTTTACTGAGGATAGCCTATATAAGTCAATGACTGTATCCAAACTATTTTAAAAACAATCTATAGCCACCAACTTATGATACACCGGCTTCTTATATGGGGTTATTTTATTAATTATAAAGATTATATTAATTATATAATAAAGATTTCCTATGATCTTAAAATACCATATGTTCTCATAAAGTCCAGGATGAAGCTAGCTCAACACCCTCAGATTAAACATTTCCTGGGTGACAAACAGGCTTTCCAAACATATGTCAGAACCTAAAGTCTCTCTCTGCTCAGGAAATTATAAGTAACATCAGTTTGGATGTGGCTTGAAAAGGAGGTATCTAAATTGGGCTCACCTTGACAATGAAATCTGCTGTGAGTGGTCCAGCCATTCTCAGTATCTCTTTGTCTGGAAATTTCTGGAAGTCCACACTAGAATTGTCCACAAGAAAAGTTCCTGTGGAGCTGAGACTGTTTTCACCTTTAGCCCCCTGGAGGGTTTTGGTTTCCAGATCTACATAATCAAACACATAAAGATGAGAGAAAGATGTTCCTAGGGCAACCACAGGCAAGCACATTTCATGCAACAATGTTTAGAGCTAGGTAAGGGAGACACATCATTCTTTATATGACCGACAAATTGAAACTGTGATATCAACAAAATATATAGGCACTGATGAGTCACATAGGAATTTATGCTGCAATTGAAATTATTTTAAAAGTCATTAGCCAGGCATTCAAGGGTTCCTGCCAAAAAAATCTTTGACTCTCCAGATGACATTATTTGGGCACCCTACTTTACCGCAACCCTATTCTTTTGAGTAAACCAATTCTCATACGTCTCTTTTTGACTTCAATCTTGATGGCCCTCAGCCTAGGATACCCTCCAGTTTTCTTTTTGCTCTACAAGATCCAGGGTGTATCTCTGAGTTGCCTCAGTACCTGTATGACTTTATATTAGTGCATTAACCTGTGTTTATTTATACTTTCTGGTTACTTACTGCACTGATGCTATTGCTCAAAATGAAGAAACAATAGTCACATAAGAACAGGAGCTACCATTTTCAGTATTCTCTTTTTAAAATTCATTTTGATACTTAGCTTAGTTTTATGCAAATATAAGATATTTCATAAGTGCTTAAGATAGAAAAAAAGCCCCTTTATTTCTGGAGCATTCAAATCCAGATTTGGCCAATGACAAAGCCTATGAAGCATGTTTTGTTGTAGAAAATCAGAGCACGCTGGGGATGATGGTAATTATGATGTGTGATGCAGAGAAGACTAAGTTCTCATGTCACTGAGGGGTGATTTAGAACAACTGTCTGTTGTGTTGCATGAAGAAAGATGGATGGACTAAGGCTAATGGTTTCTAAAACTTGACAAGAACGTTTGGTTTTGGCAAAGATTCTTCAGCAGAAAAATGGGAGTGCTTGGGTGGGGCTCTGGGTTAAAACAATTTTAAGGTCTCTGGGGGCACTCAAGTACCTAGATACTTGTATTACATTATTGTAGAGGTGGTCTACTTGTAGTTCTCTACTGCAAGGAATATCAACAGCTGGAAAATCTTGGTCTTCAGTTAAATGCCCAGGGACTCTCAGATGAAGTCTGTGGAGCCCTTCTTCTAGAGTAGACAAGACTTCACTCCCTTTCCTCAGAACAGAGGGGATCCCACTGAAGAATATAGGGCACATCAAGGGAATATTAGAGGGAGGAAATCACAGTTGTTGTCATAGGGGAAAGCAACTGCACTAAATCTCCTTCCTCTAGCCTTCGTTTCTCAAACTGCCTCACAGGCACTTGTAGAAATATTTCTAGGACATCAATTAACTTAGTTTTAGAAAAATCTTGCAGTTGTAGGCCTGATCTGAGCTTCTGATTCCATTTTATCAAGAGGCTTACAGCTGTCCTTCTCAAGGTACATCTAATTAAAGATGAGCCAAGGGGGCAGACTAGATTGCCTCATCTTATTCTGGTTTGGTCCAAAATATTTAAGGTTGATTTCGCACTATGCCAGCTTCTGGGAATGAAGGGCAAAAGAGCTACAAGAGAAGCAGGGTATCCTTTACTCCCACATTCATTTTGCTGAATTATATTTCAAATATAAAAAAAGAACACATAAGGAAAAATGATTTAGTTATACATATGCTACCAATAGTATGTTTGTTGGGAGAGAAAAGCAGATTCCAGTTTGCTTTTCATCAAATCTTTAGGATAATTAAATCAAACAAGGCCAATTCTTCAGCTTCTTTGTGATCACATAATTAGGAAATCTAGGAGACTAGTACATTTATAAAAATAAATTTCCACGGCCGGGCACGGTGGCTCAAGCCTGTAATCCTAGCACTTTGGGAGGCTGAGATGGGCGGATCACAAGGTCAGGAGATCGAGACCATCCTGGCTAACATGGTGAAACCCCGTCTCTACTAAAAAATACAAAAAACTAGCCGGGCGAGGTGGTGGGCACCTGTAGTCCCAGCTACGCGGGAGGCTGAGGCAGGAGAATGGTGTGAACCTGGGAGGCGGAGCTTGCAGTGAGCTGAGATCCGGCCACTGCACTCCAGCCTGGGCGACAGAGTGAGACTCCATCTCAAAAAAAAAAAAAAAAAAAAAAAAAAAATTCCCTCTTAAATCTATTCCTATGGGTTCTTTCTTCTGCAATGAAGAGTCAGTCCCCCACTTGGTGATGATATTGGCCTGAATATTTTGTTCCAGTATCTGTTACTGCTCACAAAAGTACTGCTTTTGAGTGGAGTTGTTACATTAGAAGTTAGCCCTCTCCAATTCTCAAATGGGGAAAAATGAATCATCTGAATGGTAATAATACACACACGTACATTATCTTTTCACATGTGAACACCATATTTTACAGGGTTGTTCAGGATTAGAAACAAACTTGAATCCATAGAAGGTGACTTATCAGCATTTTTTGGTTTTGCCTGAACTGTACCTTACTTATTCTTTTACTTCACATGGCCTTTCAAATCCCACCTCTTCCATGAAATGTATTTATTTTTATTTTTAGAAAGAGTACTGTAGGCGATCTTGACTTTTATGGGCTTCAATTTGTCTTCCTCTTGTTTGCCTTTTTAGCATGATTTCATTCATAATCCAATCACTAAAAAATAATGCTTGCTATCTAAATTGGTTTCACAGACATTTGTGTGGGAGGGGCGAAAGGACAGATGATAGATGGCTTTGTGGAAACCCAGGAACAATCACAGTGGAGGAGATCAGAAATGCTCAAGGAACCAACTGAAGTGAAGCCTTTCAGTGAAATTGAATTTTACAGAAAATGCTATCATATCCCCTCCCATCCTCTTCCTTGTTTATAGCCTATAATTTTCTTCTCGTAATTTACAGCTCTGTATCTAAACAACACTAAATAATAAGAAATAGGTGGCTCTGTACTGCTGCCTCGGCATGATTGAAGATCAATTTTTGCACAAATCCTGGAGGGGCCATGCTGCCATTTGATCTTTGGGGTTATGATTACCATTTAATCCTGAATCCCAGCAGCTTTCTTTAAGATATGAGGGCCCTGAATTTTTCTTTAATACATGGGATGCTTAATTACACCATGATGGTTTTCTTTAAATGCTACAGTGTTAAGGTTGTTTGGTGTTTCTATATTCCTCTGGATTGATGAAGTAATGAAACATGAAAGTAGGTAGAAAAAGAGAATGAATGAAGAAGAGAGAAGGGGGTTAGAAGAAAGCTGAAAAAAGGAGAGGGAAGGCAAAAAAAGATTGAGATTGGAAAGGAAGAAGAGAGGGAATGAGATATAATACTCACAAGAGCATAAACATGCGCTTAACCCATCAACAACCCATTGGGAGCATCTATTTTGTATTTTTCAGGATGACTGTGGTTAAAGATAATTACCACAGGGCTTTCTGCCATCTCATCAGGCAGCTAAAAGATAAACAGAAGCCCTCAAAATATCATATTATGATAGAGTAGAAAGATGTGTATTCTTGTGTTTTAATCTTTTCTGGGAACACAAAATAAATAATAATGACTACAATTCCCAATTCCCAAAGGAAAACAACAGAGTTACTTACACAAGTGATCAGGACCTTTTAAGACAAGGCGAACATGTCTGCTTCCATAAGGAATCGCAACCACAGCGTCATCCGCTAGAGAGAGACAAAGCAAAATCTTAAAGCACGTCACTTGACACAAAATTATTGATGGCCTTCTAAATAAAGGCACTGACTTACATACCTTAAAAACTACAGTTTTTTTAAAGTGTTTGAAATGTGAAGGCCATTATTTAGAAATCAACATTTTCACTTTTCTCAAAATAAAATATGCCAAAGATGCTAGTCACTAGTTAACTCCTGAAGGATGTGGCCTTTTAAAAAATAGGAATTTTGAAATACTGAAAAATTAGTTTGCAAGTTTTCATTTTTGATTTTAAAATCTGGTCTTATATGATCAAAAACACTTGTGCTGAATTAAAACATAAAAATAAATTCTAATGTTCAAAGGATGAATTTATTACATCAAAATCTGGACTTCTCCCCAGCAGAGTATCCTGGATGAGCAGAACAGATAAGAGAAAGGGAAGATATATTTGTATGCTCTGAACACCCCAGGGGCACAAATCATGCCTTCTAGTTCTTAAATATCCTTCACAACATCTACCCCTAAAACTATATGTAGTGAGTACCCCATAAATATTTCTTAACATTTCTCTACACACACTCTATTTAAAAATATTTTTTTAGAAATCGACTGAACCACAGATCACTTTATAATGGATTTCTTTTCACTCTATTTATAAATTGAGCTTAAATTCATTAGAAGCAGACATTTTTAAAAATTAGAGCTAATATGCATCTCAAATATATCATAGGTATTCTTATTCAGAACTCCATTTGTAATGACAGTATCTTATATTTTTATGGTGCTGCAGAGTTTCAATTTCACCTAAATTATACTATTTACTCCCTCACCCAAAACTTCTGACATTGGCATAGAGGATTTTCTGATGAAGAAATGAAATTTCTGGGAAGTATAATGCATAGTCCGAGATCAAATGGATAGGAAGGCACTTCAGAAGACAAGAGACAGGTAGGTTTAAAAATATTTACCAGCATATTCAGAAGCCCTGTGTGATTCTTTGTTCATACTACTTATCTTTTATATATATATATATTTTTTTTTTTTCTTTTTTTTTTGAGGTGTCCCGCTCTGTTGCTCAGGCTGGAGTGCAGTGGTACCATCTTGGCTCAATGCAACTTCTGCTTCCTGGGTTCAAGCAATTCTTCTGCCTCAGCCTCCCAAGTATCTAGAATTACAGGTACCTACCATCACACCCGGCTAATTTTTGTATTTTTAGTAGAGATGGGGTTTCACCATGTTGGCCAGGCTGGTCTCGAACTCCTGACCTCATGATCTGCCCACCTCAGCCTCCCAAAGTGCTGGGATTACAGGCGTGAGCCACCACGCCAGGCCCTTATTATTATTACTATTTTGAGATAGGATCTCGCTTTGTCACCCAGACTGGAGTGCAGTGGCGTGATCACAGCTCACTGCAGCCTCAGCTTGCCGGGCTCAAGAGATCCTCCTACTTCATCATCCCAAGTAGCTGGGACTACAGGTGCACACCACTATGCCTAGATAATTTTTGTAATTTTGTAGAGATGTGGTTTTGCCATGTTGCCTAGGCTTTTCTTGAACTCCTGAACTCATGAGATCCACCTGCCTTGGCCTCCCAAAGTGCTGGGATTGCACAGGTAAGCCACTGCACCTGGCCTGTTCAGACATATTTTTTTAATAGTGTACATAATTATCCTATCATTGGAAGGATTTAGGTTAAATAAGAGAATCCCAATTCTTACTCAATATTTCTCTTAATATTATCATCCTATCTTTAGGAGAATTTAGTTTAAATTAGTGAATCTCAGAAGTTACCTGACTTCTCTGATCTTCAGTTTGCTCATTTGTAAAACAGGGAAAACAAAACTTGCCTTATACTATTGTTGTGACTAGATATAAATATAGACATGAATCTAGATATATGGATGTATAGCCTGGAACACAGTAAGTATTCTGTAAACATTATTTTCCTCCCTCTACTCCAAATCTCTTAAAGGACAGGGACTGAAAAACTATTTTTTATTGTGTTTCAACTCTCCAAGGCCCCTAGCACATTACCTGTTGAATGAGAAAGAAGAGTCATATTCTCCCAATTCCTTCCTCGGAGAGGTTATATTATCAAGTTCTCTACAGAGTTGAATATTCCACTCATGCTAAAATCTTATAGCTATTTTTAATGGCATATGTTGTTGAATTTCAGAGAGCTAAGAGTTTGTGATATATAAGAACAACAACAGAAAAAAAGTGTAAGGGGAACATAGAAAAGGAACAACAACAACAAAATGTTAGGACTAGGCCTACAGAGCTTTTTTTGTTTGTTTGTTTTTTGAGATGGAGTCTCACTTTGTTATCCAGGCTGGAGTGCGATCTTGACTCACTGCAACCTCTGCCCCCTGGGTTCAAGTGATTCTCCTGCCTCAGCCTCAAGTAGCTGGGATTACAGACTCCTGCCACCGCACCCGGCTAATTTTTGTATTTTTTAGTAGAGACGCGGTTTCACCATCTTGGCCAGGCTGGTCTTGAACTCCCGACCTCATGATCCACCCACCTCGGCCTCCCAAAGTGCTGGGATTACTGGAGCGAGCCACCATGCCCGGCCAAGACTGGGCCTACAGAGCTTTAAATGCCTTGCATAAAGACATGACTTTTTAAGTTTGCAAAAGAAACTCAAAGCAGTTAAAACAATGGCACTTTCTAGAAATAGAAAGTCTTTGTTTACCCACAGGTCAAATAAAGTGCAAGTAAAAGGAAAGCTTTCTGTTTGGTCCTGCCATGCTCAGCAGCAGTCTTCTGACCCCCACACAGCTCATGCAGCCTCCCTCTTGCTCTGCTGGGAAGTGACTCGCATTCCATACAATGGAACATTAATACCCTAGCTTTTGGCTGATGCTGTAGTATCTGTATGTTCCCTAAAGAAGATAGAGTGTGGTAACATTTGCATGCTCCCCAAAAAGAGAAGAACCTCCTAGAAAGTTGTTGAGGAAGAGGGTATATGGAGAAAGTAGACCAGGTGAAAGAGTATTTTCTGATGCCCCTTGCACTCACCTAGTCAGAGAAATGAGGCAACTCAGGCTGGTACAAACTGTAGCAGTTGGCAGCACATGGCACAGAACTAGGAAGAGCCACAGCCTTCTCTTATATATTATTCTGAAAAGGGCTGATGGACCCCTGGCAAGTCATTAAACGATCTGCAAATTCATTACTTTGTTCCATAAATATTTTTTGAGGGTCTTTTAGTGTCAGGCTGCATGCTAGGAACTAGGGTTTCAGTGACAAAGAAGATAAACAAAGCACTAGTCCCACAAGATGGTCCTGAAAAAGGGATCTAAGATAAAACATGGGGGAAATACAAAATACTACACCCCACAGATGAAATTCCCAAAGCACATTCATTCATTTTTTTTAGGTGCCCTGCACCAAAGAAACCCATTTCAGTCTATTTAACCCATTGTATCCCTAAGATGTTTATCCATAAAAACTTCTTATGTGTGTCATCTGTTAAAGTCAGCTGATATATCTTAGAACATACGTTAAGTGACAGTACTCTTACTTTAACAAAAAACAAAATAGGAAAAATAATTAAAAATTTCATTTTCTGCATATTCATAAAAAGCCACTTTTGAGTTGTTTATGTATTAATAATTGTCTCACTTGCTGATAAATCCTCAATGATTTGGGATGGATTGGAAGATGCTTCTACTTGGCATCTATTAGAATGTTGTGCACAGAGTGGAGTTTAAGATTTCTCAGGATGTGAGAGCAATCTGATTGCAACACCTGCCTCCTTGGTGATGAATGCTATTAGTATAGCTGGCGAGGCAGGGGCCACATCCTCTCCCACCGTGCTGCACATTCCTCTGGGTGCCCTTTCCTACAAAGGCACACTGTTCTAGGATCGAGTGCATCTGCCCTAATCTATTTTGGCTTTGTTGACTGAACCATGATGCCAGTCTTCAGGACATATTTCTAGCTTATTAATCAACAATTCTAAATGATCTGCTCCAGATACCAGATAACTCCTTTCTCCATTCAACGGACAAACTTTCCATGGGAATCATAAATTCTGTCATTTCATAGATATGGGTTGCAAATGTCTTTTCTCAAGAAAATTGTTCCCAAGGTTTGTATGTAAGAGAATTCTTTAAAAATTATCTATCTATATGTATATCACACAACTTTCTATATAGAACATTTTATATCCGTTTTAAAATCTTATCATATGTGGATGCTCTGTGTGATTCACAGCTGTATCAGAGGAAGGTGATGAGGATAATATTTTGAAAAGACAGAATTTCCTATTCTGATATCTGAGTTTATCTTATTTTTAGATCCATTGATAAGTTCATGTTTTTAAAAACTCTTCCCTCTATGCCTATGGAGCTGATACTAAATTTTATTTTATTTTTAAAAATGAAAGAGCCATTTAAAAATACAATTGACCACATATAAAATTAGTTTGCCAATGTTGAGGAGATTTAAATGGTATATTTTGCATCTTCATGACAGTTTTATTACTTAAAATACATCCAACAAAATAAGAAGTTGAGCATCTGAGGCTTTCAATTTTCTCCCTGGTTTATCTGTAATTGCACAATAGAAGATATATACTAGACAGGCCAAACAAGATGCCCTCCTCATTCCCATCTGGAGAACTTCATCCTTCCATTTGCCTAGGCCAGAAACCTTGGAGGCATCCTATACTTCATCTCTATATCTAATCAGTTAAAAAGTTCTATTGTCAAAATACCCTATTTCATTGATTCCAAGAGGGACAACTTTTCATGCCTTAACATATATGAAATCAGAACACATCTCACAATCAGTAGTATCTTCTATTCTCACTCAGGCAATAATCCTGACATAGACACCTTTGCCTGCAGAGGTGATAACATCAAAACAGCCAGTATCAGATTCACAAAATGAGTGTCAGCTGCTTGGGAGAAAGTTCTAAGACAATATTGGAACACGTTCAACCTCTAGGAATCAAATGGCTGTGGAGGTTGAGGGGAGATGAGGAATCAGAACTAGAGGT